TCCTATTTGTGTGTGTGTGTGTGTGTATGTATGTGTGTGTGTATGTGTATGTATACAAGTGTACTGTCCAGGCCAGAAGAGTGTGCTGGATCCCCTTGATCTGCAATTTAGTTGGTTGTTAATTATCCAATATGGGTGCTATGAACAAACTTCTGGTCCTCTATAATAGTAGCAAGTGCTCTTAGTCACTGAGCCATCTCTCCAGCGCTTTCCACAATTACTTTAACATTAAGATAAAATATAATTTTCTCTAATTTTTAATCTACCTATAGGTTATGTGTGAGACTTTTTACACTTTCTGTATATAGCTGATATCAAAGTGTCTCTAAAAGCCCTCACTCACAGCAACTTGGCCTTTTTCAAGGAACAAGGAACTAGATAGAACACTGATTATACATTCTAAATGCATTGTGTCACGAGCCTTATCAGGCATCTGACACATTCAATATCATCTCTTCCATTGCAGAAGGTTAGTGATGAATCTCAACCTACAGAACTGCTTTCAAAATTGAACATCCTCATTAAGAAACCTGGCATTTGCTTCAGAATGTAAGGATGTGTCACACCTACCAAACTGGCTGTGGGAGTTTCTGCTGAAAATGTGCAATAAAAGTAAAAAATTGTGAGATCTATGCTATTAAGGCCATTTTCATTCTTGCTCTACCTTATTATTATTATTATTCATTTTAGGAAGTTGTCAGGAAGGACTCAACTAACATGGGGTAAATTTAAGCTTTTCCCTTATAGCTCATACACTTAGAATTCCATTGAGAAAACCAGTGATTATCACAATGTCTCTCTAAATCCTTTCTGTTCACTTTTCTATTATAAGTCCCTTAATAATATTCAGAGTATCATTCTTGCTGCAACGAAATTTAATTTCCACTTCCAGTGCCCCAGTTAGTTATTTGTCTGTTTGCTGCTTTAATTTTGTTAACAATGAGAGACAAATTATTGTTGGTAAACAAAAGAAAAATAAAACAAAGGCTGCAGTTTTTGAGATTAGACTATTAGGATATTGGAACAACAATTTGTCTCAGTTCGTCAAAGCAGAGTGCTTGCTGAGCATCCGGATGATCTGAGTTCAATCCCTGGAGTGCAGGGAGAAAGCTAGATGTGGAGGTGAGCATTTGTGTTTCCAGCACTCTTAAAGAAAAGGAATTCATCCACACACCCACACACATTGTGTACACACATACACAGATATATACAATAATAATTACTTAAAAGCATTGGCATAAAGGCAAGCTTTTCAAATAAATAATGATTTAAAGTTTCCTTTTCATCAATTTCTTCCTCCCTTTTCATATTATTCTCACATTACTTTCCCCTTTCCAACATATCACCAAACTTGCACAAGTACCGTGGTATGTAAACGACTTCAGAACGGTCTCATTCAGCTACCACATGGATTGCATGTTTGGGAAGCAAACAATTTTTTATTTAAAGTTGAAAATACTGTCGATTATAAATCTCAAAATGCCAATGCAGTAAGGACAAGCCGCATGTTAGAAAAATTAGCCTTTTTTAAAAAATCACAAGAATACAATAAATAATAAAACCAGTATTACTTCATTCAGTGAAACAACTGAGCTCTACTGACCTCAAGGAAAGACAATAGAGAAAAGCATTTGCTGTCTTACAAATTATTCTCCTCACTAAAATATTAGCAAAAGCACATCTTCATGGGAATCACACATCATGTTCTTTAAGAGTCAGAAGCACACACAAGTTAGAAGGCCAGATTGTGTGAGGTAATCCAGACCCAGAAAGACAACTATCATATGTACTCACTTATAAGTGTTTTTATTTTTAAATAAAGCAAAGAAAACCAGTCTACAAATCATAATCCCAGAGAACTTAGACAACAATGAGGACCCTAAGAGTGACATTCGTGGATCTAATCTACATGGGAAGTAGAAAAAAAGAAAACAAGATCCCCTGAGTAAATCGGGAGCATAGGGACCATGGGAGAGGGCTGAAGGGGAGGGGAGAGGAAGGGAGTAAAGAAAAATTTATAGATCAATAAAATCAATCAATTAAAAAAAAGAAATTATTTCTCAGGTCCTGAGCTTTTGGCCAAGAAAAACATGAATCTCTTAAATGTTTATTCAAGAGTTTGTTTTGACTGAATTTCCAAAAGAGCAAATAGTTTTGCACAGATTGTGGTTTTATAAACAGGGTTAAATGTAGGCACATTTTCCTCCTTTTGAGAGAGGTATCATTCCTGCAGCAATCTACTTAATGGTACACCAGTGGACAAAATGAAATTGAGGTGGAATGTATCTACCCCCAAAACCCTGGTGGAAAAATACCATAAAAACAGCAATTCACTCCTATGTAGCACTTTCCCATTTACACTGCATTTTCCTCTTTTTAATCTTGCGTTTTCAAAGCAAGTTCTCAAAGTACATATTAACATTCTGACATTACAGACAAAAGTAAATAAAGCTCAGAGAAGCCCAAGCTTACCCAATACCGCACAACTACTTAATGACAGAGCTGGGGCTCCCACACAGATTTAAGCTCTTTTTGTGCCAATTTAAAGATTGTTTCTGCTACAAAACAGCAGCTTTACCCGGTACTCTCTCCATTTCTCCATCTCTGAGTAGAAAAGGAGCTGAAGAAACCTAATGCAGCTATTCAAAATTGAAGCTTTCAATTGGTTACTAAACAAAGGTGGTAAACACATGTGTATCATTGCAAGAACTTTGGAAAACTTTGAAATTGAACACAAAAATGTAAGTGAAGTAAAACATGGAACTTACTAACAAGTCCTTCTAGAGTTATTTAAGTCAGTAGGGATATGAACTTTCTCTGGGCTAAGCTGTTAGAGCTCCATTAAGTTTTACACCAATAGTGATGCAAATGATTCCTGTCTATGGCAACAGGATTTTATCCATGAGTATTAAATTAACTTACACTCTGGATAGGAACCTGATTACCTAGTATTAACTTTGCTTTCATTTCTCGGCACCTCCTGTGTGTGCCCATTGCATGCAGTTCCTTTCAACCTTTTAATAAGTCTACTGGTCTTCTTATCAGTTAATACATTAAGTGAAAAAAATTGATTTATTTGTTTTTATTTGTATGAGCCATAGTTATAGACTTTGAAGAACACTGTTACGAAAACAAATGAATTCTATATCTTATAAGAAATCTTCCTGTAATGTGAGGATGGATTGTAAAATATTAGATTAAGATGCAGTATTATGTTGTAGTTTTCTCCAAGATTAAAATTTTCCATCTTGGATGGTAACTTCTTAAGACAGGATGTTTTTAAGAAAATTTTAGCTAGCAATTATACACCAGGGCATTTATTTCTAAAATGAAAATTCTAAATGGTTAAAATAAATATAATAGATTAGACAAGCAAATGGAATTAAGGAGAAATATCACAGGGCCTTATCTATTCATAAAATTAAACATACAGAGACACAAAAAGAAGTTTGGGCTTGATATATTATCACTTATTAGAAGTACTGTAGAAAAAATTATGACTATCTTAACATTACACAAAGACTCTTGCCCATAGAACATATGTCATGAAACGGATTGAGTTAATGAATACTGAAGTTATGGTGGTTTCTTCTTCTCGTATGCTCTCCTCTAAAGAAAAATATTTATTCCATTTCAGTCACAGTCCACATGGTTCATCTCTATACCACGTTGTCCCATCATGTCTCATAGGGTCTAGGTCTTGGTAATTGGCATTTTGTACCCTTCTTCTCCTGAGGTAAAGCCCTAACACATGCCCATCCGTACACACAAACACACTGAGAGGTATCTGTCTATCTTCCAAATGCAGTCCAAGATGCTGGCAGTAACATCTGTTAGATGGACATGTTAAAATTACTTCATTTGGCACATCAGAACTAAGAATGTTTGACGACCCAAAACTATGCTTTGAATATAAGTTAAGAGAAATTTCCTACTGCTAATGACTTTCATTAGAAATAATGTTCATTTGCTTCAGAATTGTTTATGAAGGTATTATTTATACTATGAAAAAATTCCAAACCACAACTCAGCAGTCTGTATTAACATTTTATCAATGTGTAAATTCTATAGAGGCTGTAAACACACACACACAAATCACACCACACACACACACACACACACACACACACACACACAAAGGTAAATCAGAGGCATTTATGAAACACCAAAGGGCAATAAACAATGCTTTACAGCATCACTGGGATTTACTGGACTCAGTTTCCAATGTTCTTTTGTTATGTGCATGTGAGTATATAATACATTTCCAATCTAATAAATATGAGCATATTGAGTCATTGTATACATTTCAGATAATTGGATATTGTTTTAATCACCTGTCTATAAACTACTAGTTTGATGATTAATAATGATATTTCCATATAAAGTCTTTCTCTAGACACTAGAAAATGACACTGTGTTAGCCAGAACAACTTAGTACTTCGGGTAAAACTCTTGTACGTTATGCTGAATAAAATAATCATGCACAGAATGTGCGATACAACACAATTCATGAAGTATAAAGCCGGTAGGATGTCAGCAGCTAAGCTGGCAATAAAGAAGGAGCAGTGATAGAGAAATGAGTGTGCAGATGGAGCAACTAAATCTCACGTTTGTTTGGTCCTAATAATATTATAACTATAAACAAACTGGACCCACTGAAATAGATCCATAATTTTGATAACATTTTAGAAGTCAAGTTGAATACTTTTAAAATTTGAATTGTGTTCTCTCAAAAAGATATATGGATCAGGTCCACCCCATGGCCCATTAATGTTTGCTTATCTAGAAATTGTTTCACGGAAAATGTGAGTGACTATGGTGAGGTCATAGAAGAGTATAGTCAATCCATAATCCAATATGATCTTATGAATGAGAAGAATTTTATACAGACTCAGGAGAAAAACACCCATATCATCAATGGAAAATATTATAATGATACACTTATATGCCAAGATATATCTGTAATTATCAAATAATAGAATGGACAAGGAAGGAGTTACCTCTAGTCCATTGGAGAAAGCACGATCCTGTCAACATTTTGATTTCAGACTCTTGGACTTCCCAAGTAGGAGAGGAAGATTTCTCCAGTTAGCTATTTAGTTTGTAGTTTCTTCAGGTAGCATTTAGTTTGTGATGAAATCTGTACAGTATTCATAATAAATTAATATAAGGAATACATTAAACATTAAAAAATGCTAAAGTGATGCATTTTAAGTGGCTTCTTACTTTAATGGTCATAATGAATTTTTTGTGCTGCAAAATGTTATTGGTATTGGGAAAGATAATATTGGAGACATAGTTAGGTGTCAAAATCTGACTAATGATGCACAGTAGCAATGTTTATCACATACCTTGTACATGATCTTTAATTTCCCCTTGAAATTAATTTTAATCTCTAAGTCTTTAATTTCATACATAAGAAGAATACTATCTTCACTTTGGGACAGAGAAAAGAGGAATTTCTTCACAGTACAAAGTAAGGTTATTCAATCACTGCATACTACCTTCAGCTCTCTTTGTAAATAGAGAAAATATTTTTTATATGGGTTTGCTTATCTGAGCTGATTAGAGATCAGGAAACTTACACTTGTATTTTTCACAAATCCATGGAAATGTGCCTGTCCAGACATGACGATTATTTAACTAAACTTTTGGTTCTTTAAAAAGGCAACCATCAGGGCACATATTTCCTGCCTTCTACATGCAATTACTCCACATGTCTGCTTCATACCAATTTTGTTTTCCAAAAAACAGTCAAATGATTCTTACTTGCCTCTTCAGGAAATAGGTGAGTATTGCTTGAGTGTGTTTAAATTCCCATGCTCACTTTTTAGTGCTGACCCAAAGTAGCTGTGTGAATCTGCCAGGATCCCAGCACCTTTGGGGATCAGTCTCTTCATTTATAATGTAGAGGCCACAATCAAGTCAGCTATAAAGCCGAGCAGTGGCAGTATGCATGTGAAGCTATTTTTATCTTTTCTATTCCAGTGATTGTTTTGCTTCCTAACGAAAATATGCATTGTATATCAAATGAACTCAAATTAATATGAATTATAATATCATTGATTATTACTTAAATCATTACTTTGAAATCCCAATAATCAAAATGAATTTCTAATGAGGCACAAAAATCAAAGAACATATTTTTCTTATACTATGTAAATTACCTTCTGAGCCAAACCACAAATTAGTTTTGAAAAGCTGACTCTAACAATGAGAATGAATCTGTAAAAGCTCAATTTCTATAAAGAAAGACATAAGCCTGGCTCTATAAGCAGATATTTTGTACTAAGTTGCTTCTAAGTTTCCTTTCATGTAGAGTAATTCCTGAAAATTTCCCCTCCAGAACACTTTGCATTACAATAGAAACCCAACTGTAAAAGTGAAAGACATTATTCTGTTTAATTTTTCTACATACTGTTGAGGCAAACGATTGAGTATTCTCAAAACTGTAGGAAAGAAAATAGTGGTAAGTAATAGAATGAAAGGAAACAAGGCTATTTATACTTTGTCATAAAATATGGTATCATAAGGAGTGGAAGGGGTGACTTAATAGTTAAAAGTACATACTGGTTTTGCAAATGCTTCAAATTTAGTTTCCATCAGCCATATGAGATGACTCACAACCAGAGCAGAAACTCCCAGTTTCAGGATATATTATTCTCTCTCTGTTTTTCTAGGCACTGCATTAAAATGTGAAAACAGACAGACAGACACACAAATTTAAACTAAAGCATTTAAAATTAATACCATAGAAATAATTTGAATAAATACTTAGGAGTCTCTTTTCCTCTTTTTCTCTCTCTTAATCTCATTTCCTCCTAGTTCTTCAGAATGTACAGAGATTATAAACATTACCATTGTTGGCCTCATAGTATAAGTGAAAGGATTTCATTAGTGCAGATAAAATGTTTAAAAATTGTGTCTTGCACAAGCGTATTAACCAAATTTTATTAGAAATCATTATTAAGATTAAATCCTAAAATTTATTTTGTGAAAAAAAGAAACCTCATAATATTTAAAATAATTTGCCAAAATAGTTGCACTGTAGTGAATTCTTTTAGCTAGCTCTGTAATGAACACTTCATGAGGACTCATTATGTCATATACACTATTATTGACCAGACTTGATTGACATACCTAAAGCGTATGAGGTATATATAAGGCCCATATGGTTGTATATGTGATCCAAAAAGCAAGAAGAGCATCACTTAGAATACTCACATTTCCGTGGGCTCATTCTCCTGCAATCTAGATGCAGACATTTTCACTTCAAATGTGGTTCTAGTAAGAGCCATGGATTCTCTTTGATTTTCTAAACTTATTTAATTTCATATATGATTGCTCCCTGCGTGTTAGAAGAGGGCATCAGATCCCATTGTAGATGGTAGTGAGCCACCATGTAGTATGCTGGGAATAGAACTCAGGAGGACCTCTGGAAGAGCAGTAGGCGCACTTAAGCCCCCAACAAGGTCCGTGGGCAGCAGAGGAGAGGGAGCCTGAACTCGCCTTATCCCATAGCCACACTGATGAATATCTTGTATATTTGTATATCACCATAGAACCTTCATCTGGCGATGGATGGAGATAGAGACAGAGACCCACATTGGAGCACTGGACTGAGCTCCCAAGGTCCAGATGAAGAGCAGAAGGAGGGAGAACATGAGCAAGGAAGTCAGGACAGGGAGGGGTGCGTCCACCCACGGAGACGATGGAACTGATCTAATGGGAGATCACTAAGGCCAGCTGGACTGTGACTGAACAAGCGTTTGATCAAACGGGACTCTCTGAATGTGGCTGACAATGAGGGATGACTGAGAAGCCAATGATAATGGCACTGGGTTTTAATTCTACTGCGTGTACTGGCTTTTTGGGGAGCCTAGTCTGTTTGGATGCTCACCTTTCTAAACTTGGTTGGAAGGGGGAAGGGCCTTGGACTTCTCACAGTGCAGGGCACCCTGACTGCTCTTTGGACTCTTGAGAGGGAGAGGGAGGAGGAGTGGGGGGAGTAAGAGGAAAATGGGAGGAGGGGAGGAGATGGACATTTTTAATAAATAAATAACATTTTAAAAATGTGGTTCTAAATTGAGTTATTTTTACAAGTCAAATCATAATCTAAAATGTTACAACTATTTCTGAAAGTTATAGGAGTAGGAGCTCTATGAAAGATAAAAAAAGAAAGTGAGGTAGGGGAGGAATGCTAAGCACAGAAGTAGTCTCAACTGAGTTCAGCCTCAGTCATTAATGGAACCCCATGTTGGTCCTACCTTGGGGAAAGATGAGGAATGTTTTATATTGTATTAGTTGGAAGCATGAGATGGCTCAGATATTGGAGGTTTCTGGGCTCATAATCTCCAAAGCAGGATGATCTCAAAACCCAAATCTCTAAAAAGATATATCAGTACCACATCCCTGCTGCCTGCTTCTCACTCAAGTGTATATCGGCCCAAGGAACAGGATTTGGCAAGAACTCTCACTGCATATGGTATCTATGTGCTCTTGTTACAAGGTCTCTTTTCATGGAATTTCTTTCTGTCAAGGAATTTTGTTTCTGAGTACCAGTTCAAGCTAATGAAATACAATTTTTCTCTTCAATTGTCTTTTTGGGACCCTAGTCTATTTGGATGCAAAGCTTCCTAGGCCTGGATGTGGGGGGGAGGGGTTTGGACTTCCCACAGAGCAGGGTTCCCAGCCCTCTTTTAAGGAGGGAGAGAGAGGGAGAAGGGGGAGTGGGAGAGCTGGAGGGGGATGGGAGGAGGGGAGGAAGTGTAAATTTTTGAATGGAGAAATAAATAAATTAATTTTAAAAAGATTTTTATTCTCTCTCTCCCTCTCTTTTTAACTTTCCCAATCTTTCTCTGATTCTATCTATCTATCTATCTATCTATCTATCTATCTATCTATCTATCTATCTCTGTATGTGTGTATATGTAGTATATTCATAGTGTATGTATGTACATGCTGCCCAAGTACATACAGCAGCCTGAGAAAGATGCAGGGTGTTCTCTACCTTATTCACTAGAGACAGGTCTCTCACTAATTCTGGATCTATGCTGGCATCCAGAATGTCCCAGAACTCATTCTATCTCCAGCCTTTTGCAATACTAGGCTTATGTCAGGTTTTACTACACCATGTTTTTTTCTTTTTCCTTTTTTAACATACATTCTTGATACTTCAACTTAGATCCTTATTGTTAGATTAGATAGTCCTAGGAGATGTGGAAATAAAATAAAGAATTATTCAAACTTTCCAGGAAGAATGTATTATCCTCTACTTATATCAGTGAAGAGTGACAGTCTCTGGGACTGTGCCCAAGGAGCATTGAGGACTTGCGGGTTCTATGAGCAGAGAGAGTTCTTGGGGTTGAAGATACCTTCTGTAGGTCTGTACTCCTCTAGTTTCAAAGATGTAATTATCAACACAGTTTAATGTGATTTTATCAGAAGGGACAGATGCTGTTTGGGAGTAGGGGAGGATTCCATTTATTGGATGCTGTTTTGATTCTGGCAGTCCACAGATGTTCATAGCTATCATCATTCCTGTTTTTAACTCCTTATTCACCACATGTTTGTGGGCTGTAACCCCTTTATAGATGCTTTGCAGTAACTGCTTTTACCTACAGTGTCATCTTCCAAGTGGAGATGATCGTCCTCTAAAGGTGATAAATGGAAGAATTCTCACAAGCAAAGTAAGGCTTCCACTTTGAAATAAGAATAGGGTGGTGGCTGTCTTATAGTTCAGAATTGTCTATTCTGTTAACTCAGAGATAATTTTGATCAAGATGAGGGCAATTCTCTGACTGACTATAGTCAATAGACCATAGGAACATGCGTTGGCCTGGGGAAGTGTATCTTGAAAACTTATAGGTAATATTAAACTGTCTCATTTTCTGATCTGTTGTGGAGACTTTTGCTTGTTTGCTGTAATCTATGAATCATAGTTCCCTCTGCCTTCCCAACACTTCGCATTATTGCATGTTTTTATGTTTTTTCTATATAGTCATTATTTATTTAAGAAAATTATAAATAGTATTATCTATTTCAGGTTTAGAAACTAATAACTAAAATGTTCTATTGGTTTGTCTTGTTTGAGTCACAGCTGAGTTCAAACTTTTGTTCTCTTCTGGCAGAAGCAACAATGAAACCTTCCATATATTGCAGTCAATCCCCATGTAAAGAGTTCTCAGTAAATTCTTTTATTCTTATGTTGACCTCCAGCAAACATCCAAAGGAATTATTGCTAGATTATAAATAATCATTATTCTAATCCCTTTTTAATAAACACATTTATATTCAACATTTGAGGAAAGACACAAGGCAAACAGGGATCCCATATGAAAAGTCAAAGGTCAATTTGCACCAGTGTTGAAAGTTCTGGGCAAGAGGAACTACTGAGATGTATTACGAAATTAAGAATTATGGCAATGATTCTCTATATCTATTCAACATAGTTCTTAAAGTTTTAGCTAGAGCATAAGACACAAAAAGAAATCAAGGGGATAACAAATTGGGAGTGAAGAAGTCAATGTATTCTTCTTCACAGATGATATGATAGTATACATAAGTTCCCCCAACAACTCTACCAGGAAACTTCTACAGTTGATAAACACCTTCCGTCAGTGGGTGGATGCAAGATTAACTCAAAATAAGTGAGTAGCCTTCCTATACACAAACAATAAATGGACAGAGAAAGAAATCAAGAAACTAACATCCTTTACAATAGCTTCACATAATATAAAATATGTTTTTGTAAATCTAACAAAGGAAGTAAAATACTTGTATGAAAACAATTTCAAGTATTAAAGAAAGTAATTAAATAAGATTTCAGAGGATAGAAATATATCCCCTGTTCATGGATTGGTAGCATTAACCTAGTAAAAATGGCCATCTTACCAAAAGCAATCTAAAGACTCAATGCTCTTTAAAATCCCAACACAATTCTTTACAGACTTAAAAGAAAAAATACTTAACTACATATGGAAGATTAAAAAAAAACATAGTAGCTAAAACTACCCTGTACAGTAAAAGAACTATCAAAGTATCACTCACTATCTCTGATTTTAAGCTCTACTACAAAGTAATGGTAATAAAAATTACATGATATTGGCATTTAAAAAAAGACAGGTGGATATGGAATTGAACGGAAGACCCAGAGAAAAATTCACTCACCCATGAACACCTGATTTTTGACAATGAAGCCAAAATTATACAATGGAAAAAGGGAAGAATCTTCCACAAATGCTATTCTAACTGGATAACGGCATGTAGAAGAACCAAAGAGATTCTATCACCCTGCACAAAACTCAAGTCCAGGTGGATCGAAGACCAAAACATAAATACAGACACTCTGAGCCTGATAGAAAAGAACATGGGAAATAGCCTTGTTCACATTGGCAGATGAGACAACTTCTAAAGAGGACGCCAATAGCACAAACACAAAGATCAACACTTAATAAATTGGATCTCATGAAACTGAAAAGCTTCTGTGAGACAAAGGACACCATTAATAGGACAGATTGACAGCCTATAGAATGGGGAATGCTATTCCTTCACAAGCCTCTCATGTAAAAGAAGGTTGATTTTCAAAATATATAAAGAACTAAAAATAGAAGTCAACACACCAAATAATCCGATTAAATGTGGGGTACAGATCTAAAAAGAGAATTCTCAACAGATG